TCATCGTAGACTTCAACATCCATCCTGCCGCCAACGATTCGCGCACTCCCATGCAGGTTCCCATCCCCCCCCCCTCCCTGCGTGCTTCAGGTAACAACTCTCTCAGCTCTACGAGGAGCTGGCGTTCTTGATCTCTCACCACGCATCCGGAGTCAGACAATGGTCTCCTCCTCTCTCCAGCTCGATCCGAGCTCACCTGAGGAGCGGACCCCACCAAGTCTCCAAGGACAGAGAGCATGACGAGCAGCCGGTTGCTCTTCCTGCTCCTGCGGTGGCGCAGGAAATCCAGCAGGACAAGGAGCAAGGGGCTCCAGGCAGTGAGTTGTCCCCCGAACGGCGTCCGCACACAGGCGCGTCCTCCTCTTCCTCCCGTCGCAGGCCTGGAGGCCACATGTCACTCGAGCGAGCCGCAGCCCTGGCCGTTGCCGCTTCCCAGCTTCAGGTGGCGAGGAATGAGCACAAACACTCCGAGCTGAGAGTGACGGCAGGTGGGGTGGACCACCAAGAGCTACTTCTTCGTGGAAGGCAAGGAGAGGAAGGGGCCAGTAGACTTCGAGCAGGTGAGTGGGACCCCACCCTTTTCCCGCTGCTGACGTGCGCGTGCAGCTGTGCAGCCTATACCAGGAGGGAAAGATTGTCCCTGAGACCTCCGTGTGGTACAAGTCGCTGGGCCCCAAGTGGATGAGGCTGCAAGAGAACGTTCCTCTTCATGATGCGATCAAGTCGGCTAAGGTCAGCTTCGCCATGACAACTTCGTCCTTGCTGACCTCATTGCTCCTCCTCTTTCACCACGCTCCTCTTCACTTCTCATCCTCTTTCTCTCCTTCTTTCTCTCTTCTTCTCTCATCCTCTTTCTCTCCTTCTTTCTCTCTTCTTCTCTCATCCTCTTTCTCTCCTTCTTTCTCTCTTCCGTTCTCTCTTGTCCCTCGCTATCCTTGTCCTAACTCTTCTCTCACTCTCACTCTCTCCCTCCTCACTCTCCCCTCGTCTCACTCCTCTCCGTTTTTCCTCTTGGCAGTTCTCTTCCGCCGGGCATCTCATGGAGCCCTTGAATCTCAACATAGCAGAAGAGATTGCTGCTACCAGGTTACAGCTCTGGTGGAGAAGAATCCTTCGACATCGGCACAACCTTGTCAGCCCAGGCGTGTCTCTTTCTTCTCCTCCCAGTGCGCTGGGCCCTTCCCCCATGCCTGCAGCCAGTGGGCATGAGAGTATCCAACCAGCTCCGGAGCAAGCGCAGAGCATTCAAGCGGAACACGAGGGAGGGAGCCAAGGGGTTTCGCACGAAGCTGCTTCCTCGCTCGATGTCAAGAAGGACGAGCCGGCACGGCAGCGACTGTCGCGGGACGACAGAGTAGCCATGACGACGGCTGCTATCATCTCTACCATGTCCTCCGCTGCTGAGTCCTTGTACGTGGGAACGAAGGAGGAGCGGAAGGTCATGATGCCGAAAGCGTCGGAGGAGAGCATGGAGATAGTGAAGATGGGGGTGGTAGCATGGGCACACGCAATCAACGAGCTCTTCGGGGGTCCGACCTCGTGAGCAGAGGGGATCGGACTCCGGGAAAGAGGAAAGAAGAGGTAAAGGAGGAAGGGAGAGGTAGAAGGAGAGGGTGGGGAGTAGACGAGAAAGCCTGTAAAGTTGTGTTGATATGAAGTTCTCTATGTGATACTCTCGAGGGGCCTCAACTTGTAGAATGCCCGACAAACTGAAAAAGAAAGGCAAACCGGAGCAAAGAAAGGAGGACGAGGATAATGCCTACAAACCCGCCTCAATAAAATACTAGGAAACGAAGGAGGCAGCGAAAACCGCTACTCCAACTAGCTAGCTTGATTGACACTTCTGTGAAAAAAAGAAGTCAAGTACGTCACTTTTCCTGCTCTCCCCAGTCCACCCTCCCTCCCCTCCTCCCTCGCCATCTTCCAGATATCTCCCGCGAGGACGGCGAAGATGCAAGGAGCCCAAGGGGAGGAGCAGTTTGGAGTGGGCATCTACTTCGCAGAAGACGTTGATGGTGGTGTTGGAGGGGTTGAGAGTGCGTCTTGGTCATGCTTGCTCAGGGCAAGTCTTCGTCCAGTCCCTCGTTCCTGAGGGATCAGCAGCCATGGCAAGAACTATCCAGGTATGCTCTCAGCTCAGCTCGCTAGCTCGGACGGGTCAAGCTTCACTGCAGGAGAGCGACATCCTGGTCAAGATCAACCACCAGCCGACGCTGCACATTGGGCTTGCAAGGCTAAGGTAAGCAGTGGGGGTTGTTGACGTGCCGGATGAGTCGAATGATGCTGGTTGTCGAGGACCCTCGTTCTTGGGCCGCAGGGCTCGCACGTCACGATGACGTTTCGAAGGGAGGGCACGAGCGGGAAACTTTTCTATGAAGTAGAGGAGCTCGGCTTCTTCGCACCTCCTCCTTCTTGTCTTTGTTTACACTCTCACTTGCAAATGCGCTCGTACTTGCCCCTGCCCCTGCCCCTGCCCCTGCCCCTGATCCTGATCCTGATCCTGATCCTGATCCTGATCCTGATCCTGATCCTGATCCTGATCCTGATCCTGTACCATTTACTGACTGGACATCGCAGGTGGACTTGGTGAGAGGGTCAGCAGGATACGTGAAGCTGTTGATGAGATGTCATTCCCTCGCCACAGAGAACGACAGGTTGTGAAGCAACTGCAGGGTATAATGACCTAAGTTGACTTTCAGAATGAGGAAAATCGTGTCAATGCAAGAGGTCCGATGCTTCGATGCAAGTCCTCCCTTGACGAGACCACTAGATTAAGATTGAGGGGCTGGTTGCTGAGAAAGAAGAGCTCATGAAGGGCAACAGAGGTGGAACAGCAGAGGATACTTGATTCCCTTTTGGCGCCATGTGAAGGTTCGAACAGGTTTGAACCAGGACGAGAGGCAGAAGATGGAAAAGGAGAATCTGCAGAGCAGAGCAGAGGTGGAGAAGCTCGCAGGTCTGTTGGAGAATTGGAAAGAGAAAGCATCCAAACTTGAGAAGATGTTGGCCATCTCTCAAGATAACATGAAGAGGTAAAGAAGAGTTCGCTCGCCATCCCTGCACATCCTCGTCACGACCGCCGCTAAGTTGGACTGATTGCTTCCCAGCCGGGAAGAACACGTCAATCGGATTGAAGAGCTTGATAGAGACAGGCTGGGTGAAAGTTTCTTTGCTTCCGCTGAGTTTCGACATGACGCCGCTTGTAACTAGCGTACGTGAGCGAGCTAGAACGAAGATTCCAGGAGGACAAGCAGCTTCAAAGGACCATTCAAGCCAAATTACAGGTAGGGAGGAGTGACGTTGAGGAATACGAGAGTGAAGGAAGGAGCAGGAGGACCTGAGGAAAGAGGCGCTGGCAAGATCGACAGCAGAGAAGAATTTAATGAGGGTCCTTGCTCAGCTCCAGGAGACCAAGCAGGTGGAGGGCCCCTTTGCCTCCTCAACGCCGGCAGTAACCATAATAGCAGGAGCTGACCATCCTGAAGATGCGCGAAGACAATGTGAGGTCAAGGCTCGAGACTGGGCATCAGGAGCTGAAGAGAGCACTCAAGTTCAACGAGGAGGTATTGCGCTTTCGCACTCTCTCGGATGACTCCAGCACAGGTTGGGCTGGAGTTGGCGACATTGATGGGGAAGATGGAAGATTCGCACGACTACGTCATCCACGAACTCCTGAGGTCTGTTTCTCCTCTCCTGCTCCGGAACTGAGAGGTTTTGAACCATCGCCAAGCAGAAAGACCGTGCCTGTCCACCCGTTTCAAAGCTCATCGACCTCCGAAGATGTAGCAAGAAACCCAACCCCGCTTCAAGGGCTGTGACATAAAGATAGAAAATGACGAGTAGAGCAAACATGGGCTCCGCCCTCTAGAATTCATCCTGCCAGACCAAGAACAAGCTCTTCAGCGGCGTACATCGCTATGGCTGGAATGACGAAAGGCATGATGGTAAAGAAACTGCAGGCCCAGTAACTCTGGGGTTTGGAAAGAAGCAAAGTAGCATGCGCTCACCTCATCGCAGAGAACCAGAAGAGATAAAACTTGTCGACACCCTTGTGCTTCTTCGAAGACTTGCATACTCCGTGGTGCCGTTGGATGCAATCCTCCACCGTGGTACATAGTTTCTGAGATACTTCGCACAGTTGCCCGAACGGATCTCTCTGCCCACAGAACTCGCAGCAACATGGGCGACCGACAAGATCCAGGCCTGTCTCCTCGTTGTACTTGCCGCAGATGGCAAAGGGTCGATTCTCCGTGTAGAAGGGGGTCCTGTACATGTCCTGCATCCCCAGATTGCAAGGCTGTTCATGGATATCTTGCCAATCTGATCAAACGAGTCACACCTCTTTGACATCCTCTTGGCACCTGCACATGGCAACTACCTGGCAGAGTCTCTCCTGGTCCTTCTGTCCTTGGAAGGCAAGAACAACTGTTCAGGCACACGAGTGCGGCCCAGAGCATTGCACAGACCCTCCATGACAGCAACTTGCTCATGATTCGCAGCCCACTTCAAAATTGGTCTCGCATCCCCTCTTGGATTGTTGCCTGTGAGCATCAGAGAAAGTCAATGTTTGAAGACACGGAACTCTCCTTTTCCTCGCACATCATTCATGGCAATACGGCTCAAACTCCCTTTTCATGGATAGTTTGATTCCCCATGGTTTGGATGTGGTTCTTTTATATTGCATGCATGCTCCTAACTTACTTCTTCATCGATATCCACATTCCTCTATCTTCATACCCTTGCCATGCCCCCCCCGTCTCCCCCGCCTCCCCTCCCCTCCCCTCCCTCTCTCCCTATCCCCTCTCTGGATTCGGCCGCATTCGCAATCCGCACTTTGATTCTCTGGTCAGCCATCATACCCAGGCACAGAATGTCTAAACTGAACCAAGCTAAACAGCCTAAACCTCGAGCTCGCAGCGGCCATGGCAGACAGGAAGGCAACAAACCGGTGAGGGAGAAGGAGAGCTGAAAGAGGATAGTGCCACGGGGTCTGTGGCCATATATCCTACCAGTGTCTGGCGTTGCAATGTTGTCTGGCATGTCTCGACCTCCTTCACAACCCATTAAACATCCTGCCTCTCAAATGCAGTGTAAAGGCGTGTGTTGTAGTGTGCTGTTTCTTTGTTTGCTTTTGTTTGTTTTTTTCAACATTTTGTCTGTCTGTCAATGTGATGGTCCAGCGATTTGAGCATCTGATATACACGCCAGCTAAGCTTGCTTTCTTGTCATTTCAGTGCAACATTTTGATTTTGTATCACAGGTACTATCCGCCAGAATTCTGGGACCAAAAGAATTTCAATGAGAGAAGTAATCTGAATACTTTTCGGGGAGAATCGTGGAGAAATCGAGGAGCCCAAGTGAACAGTAAACTGCTCACGCAAGGCCGAGATGTCATCAGATTCGAGACGCCATTCGATATTTGGTGTGAAAAATGCCAAGAAGTCATTCACAAAGGTGTTCGCTTCAACGCAGACAAGAAGAAGGTATGAGCTGGGCGTGTTTGTTAGCTCTCCTGTTTCGCTGAGAACTAGAAAAGGCAGGAAAGTACTTCACGACAACTATCTGGGAGTTTCAATTGAAATGTCACTTGTGCGACAACATCATGATTGTAGCGACGGACCCTCAAAACACAACGTAACAAAGCGTCAAACTTGGAGGAAGATGGGATCGTGATGCATGCGCTACCAGGTACAAATGCATCAGCGGATGCCGCAAGAAAGAGGAGTCCTGGGACCAGGTTCGACCTTCCTTTGTCAAATGCTTCGATGCTAATGGGACCTGTTTGTCGTATATGACGATCAGGATGAGGATACTGTAAAGTTGCTTGACGAAAAAGAAAAAAGAAAACTTGAAGAAGACCCATTCTACCGACTGGAACATTTTGCAGCATCCGACGGGTCTGGGAAAAGGTAGTATTTTGTAACCGGTGGCATTGTGCAATCCTCATTTTAAATGCTTTCAGGGAGGACGAAGTGAAATCGAAAGAGAAAAAAGCAGTCCTACACCAATTGAAACATATTCAGGTCAAGTTCCCATATTGGATGCTTTCCTGCTTCCGTTTCATACTGAGGAGTGATCATCGATGGAACAGGATGTCAGAAGTCGAGATGATGGCATTCTGAATAGGACACTGCGCAATGCATTTCGCAAACAAAAGAAGGAAGATCAGGTGCACAGGCGACCTTGTTCATGTTAGGAATGGTTTGGTCTGAACTAATGCGCTATTCAAATAGGCAAACGAGGCTCAGCATGCGGAAGAGAGAAAAAGATTGAACATGCAGATTCCTTTATTACCAGAATCAGAAGAAGATCGAGTACGTGCAAAGCAAGAGGTAACTGCTTTCAACATCAGTTCCGAGTGCAATGCACTGAAGCTTGAGATCAACAGATCATGAATGCGCGTGTTCAAACCGAGGAGTTGAGATTCAAGGAATCAAGAAAGATGGCTCGAAATTTGATCATGAACAGCCCGATGATGAAAAGCAAACCAGAATCTGTCCTACATCAAGCAAGAATTTTGGCTCTCCAGGTATCAGACCACAGCAAGGAATTTGTTTTTTCTTTCGCTAACATGGCCTCAAATTTCTAGCGCAGCAAGACAAGTGGAGGGATAGCGAAACCCAGGTGTTTTATTTTTATTGTCTAACCTTGCCATTGACGTTGCCTGGCAGGATCTCTAAGCTTGTGAAACGTAAGTGACCTGCTGTTGAAAATCGACTGTTTGCAGCGGCTCATGCTTTGTGTGGACAGAGAGCGTTACTCCGATAGTGAAGATCAAGAAGGAGCCGAGATCTTGAAGAACTTCTAGCATGTTGTGCTGTACCAATGTAACATTATCGACAACCAATCCCCCTGCATCCCGTCTCAAAGTTGCCTACTACCACCACCCACCTTTCCCCATCGAGTGCGGTACCAGAAACCCTCCCACTACCATGTCCATAATCCACCCCACCCCCGTGGAGGATCAGCCCAGCCCTGTTCCTATATATACACTGTATCGCACATCAGAAGACATGGAGGAGCCCGCGTGGCCCAATGGATACGGCGCACCCCTCCTAAGGGTGAGATTGTGGGTTCGAGTCCCATCGTGGGTGCCCACTCAAAGACATTGTCCTCCAATTCTTTTTATATGTGACAATGGGGGATGCTCTTCTGATGGCCCGGTTGTACACCCGGCTCTATTAGTTTTATTATTCTGTACGGGCAATTCCGGATGTTCTATCGTACAACACGTGAAATAGCAGTGAATATTTCAAATGTTCCGATGAAGTTTCAAATGTAATACTTATTTGAATATGAAATGTGTGAAAAAATTGTTTTTAAAGATTACTTTTGTACGAGTTTGTGCTATCCTTCATTCCGGACTTTGGTACCACTAAAACGTATTCAGTAGAAATTTTATATATGTGGGAAATTGTTGTTTTTATAAGTTCCCATCCCTTGGGAGGCGTCCTCGGTCTGCATAGACGTAGAACGACAACATAACAGTTTTTGTTTTTAAACTGTACCACCCCTAGCTCTGACTAACTTTATCAGTAGAGGGTACACTATGGTTTTATAGATTGGGCTTTATAACAAGGGTAAGGACCCCTACTGCAGACTCAAATGGAGGGTATTCAGTCGATTTCATTTTTCCATTCGGACCCTATTGCTTGCGCCCCAGCCGCGGAGGCAGCAGCATGGCGCTTGCTATGAGCGGGCTCGGAATGAGGCGGTCGCTCTTGGCCCTTCAGCTTCGATCATCCTCGTCGACCTGCTCTCCATGCTCAACCCAACCGTCTCTCTCTTTCACTTCCTCGGCATCGCTTGCTTCGAAGACAAGGATCGCGTCCAGGCGTGTCAGTGCCATGAACAGGAACATTCCACGAACCCTTGCGCGATCGCTTACGACTCTCTGCCAACCTTCAGGGTGAGTATCAGATCTATGTACATGGTTGGAATGGTTACTGACTTGCTGCAAAAACTTCAGGATGGGAAGATTGGCCAAGCCAGCTTGCAATGTCTCAAGAAGATCAAGGTCATGGATTGTGAGGGGCATGAGTAGCCTCCCAGAGCATCAAGTGTTGAAGATGCCTGCTCTGTCTCCAACCATGAAAACAGGAAACATTGCAAGCTATAAGATTAAGGTCGGCGACAAAGTGTCTCCCGGAGATCTTCTGTGCGAGATTGAAACCGACAAGGCCACTATCGGATGGGAATCACAGGATGAGGGATATATCGCTGCCATCTTGATGCCGGAAGGGTCGCAGGATGTCCCAGTGGGTAAAGAAGCCATTGTGCTCGTAGAGAATGCAGCAGACGTCCCTGCCTTTGCCAATTACAAGCCTGGAGAGGACTCTGCTGCCAAGGCTGAGCCAGCACCTGCTGCTCCGCAACCCAAGCATAGCGCCCCTGCGGCAAATACAAAAAGTTACCCGCCCCATCAGTTGCTAAACATGCCAGCTCTATCTCCAACCATGACTGCTGGCACTATTGCTGGGTTCAAGGTTAAATTGGGGGATAAGGTAACGAAACTCTGTTGCCTTCAGTTTTCCGTGCCAAATGTGACTCGCGCTTCGATCTAGATTTCTCCGGGTGATTTGCTATGCGACATTGAAACAGACAAAGCGACCATCGGTTGGGAATCGCAAGATGAGGGCTACATCGCAAAGATTCTGGTACTTTCTTACCGATCTAGTTCTGTCAGTCCTGTGACAGAGGGGTTTAGGTGGCTGAAGGCGCAAGCGAAGTTGCCGTTGGAGTCCCAATCTTCGTGGTTGTTGATGACAGCGGAATCGTCCCTTCCTTCCAGGACTTCACGGTAGACACCACCAAACCGCAAGGCGCTGGTGGAGCTGCGGCTAAGGCACCAAGCAGTGAACAGCCGAAGGTAAATGCTGTTTCTTTGGAAAGAGACGTTGATTCAATACTGTAGGCGGCTTCTCCATCTTCACAGGCTCCAAGTATGTGCAAATTGCTCTTGTTCATCGTTCAATGTCCACTAATGATGCAACAGAGAGTGCTCCTGCACCTGCATCACAAGCAGTTGAGAACAAGGGCGGGCGTGTGCTGGCTTCGCCCTTGGCAAAGAAGTTGGCCAAGGAAAACGGTATGAAATCATTAATATTTCCCTTGCTTCTGTCAAATACAACGTATTTTGGATGATGTTTGTACGCAGGTATCGACTTGAGATCGACTACTCCTACCGGACCACACAACCGAGTCATTGCTGCTGACGTTCTACAAGCTATCGAGGTGTGCAGAAAGTGTAACTCTGCGTACCCATATCATAATCAAACTTTTTCTATTCGTAGAGTGGAGTCGGCTCAAGTGTGCAGAGCGCGTCATCTGCGGGTGTAAGTAACTGCTATTTTGTCTGGCCGAGGCTCATCGGACTTGTGTTGATTCGTCTTCCTAGGTTGCTGGTGTGGATTACACGGAAATTCCACATTCCAACATCCGCAAAGTTATTGCATCGAGGTGAATCTCATTTATTTAGGCTGGAACTGTTTTGAGTCTGAAAAATTGTGTTTTTTAGGTTGCTTCAATCGAAGACAACCATCCCACATTATTACCTGTCAATGGATGTGTGTGTGGACGACTTGCTGAAGCTTCGTGACCAGGTGGATGTGCTTTGCTTTGTGTACTAGCTCTTACAGGCGTGAAAGTTGAACTCAAAAGCCAAGTATGACAAGGAGGGCAAGCCAGACTACAAATTGTCTGTCAACGATTTTATCATCAAGGTTGAAAGTTTCATTTTTGCGTTGAAGCGATGTTAATCATCACGCAAAGGCTTCTGCTCTTGCTTTGAGAGATCATCCCGAGGTGAATGTTTCATGGATGGAGAATGCCATTCGCAAGTACAACTACATTGACATCAGCGTTGCCGTCGCATCTCCGACGGGTGTCCATACTCTTTGAGGGTGAATCGACCTAACCGATTGATCAGGCCTGATCACCCCGATTGTGACCGATGCGGACATGAAGGGGCTCCTGGGCATCTCTAACGAAGTAATCTTTTCCTTTTCAGATGACTCTGTTGTCTTGTCTCAAGTACTTTACAGGTGAAGGCCCTCGCAGCCAAGGCCAGGGATGGAAAGCTTCAGGTGAGGCTTGCTAACACCCTTCTGGTCCATCCTGACATGCTCGTTAGCCCCACGAATTCCAGGGTGGCACTTTCTCGGTTTCCAACTTGGGTGATGATCGACGGCCCAACAGCCGACAACCGTTGACGGATTCTTGCGCAGGAATGTTTGGGATTACGAGCTTTGCCGCTATCATCAATCCTCCGCAGTCCTGCATCCTTGCAGTTGGTGCGACTGAAGAACGAGTGGTCCCAGCCAAGGTTCCTTGCGACACAGCTCTCAGGTTGAGATGTGACGCGATCTTACAGGGTCCCAACGAGGACTATGCGGTCTCTAGCTTCATGCGCATTACCCTTAGCTGCGATCATCGAACTGTCGATGGAGCTGTTGGCGCCCAGTTCCTGCAGACGCTCAAGAAGTACCTCAGCAACCCTTCGACGATGTTATTGTAGTTTACGTGAAGAGGTGTTGGCGCGAGCTGCATGACAATACACGTGCAACGTCCACCAATGTGTGAGACATGTTATTTCATTCTACAATATAAGTACAACATGGTCTTGACTGGAAGGTCCAAGTCAACCAACATGACGTCAAAGGTGCAGCGAATGGCTCGGAACAAAGGAGCTTCCTTCGTAGACATACCCCAGCTCAGCCGAGACTGAATCTTGCGATGAAACCGGGAGTCTTGGAGACATCTTTGCTTTCCTCACGGTTGCGCGTTTAGACTTTCGTGGGCTACCAACAGTGACTGTTGCTCTGGAAAACAAGGCGCTGGTGGTAGTAGGAACTGAAGAAAGTGAAGTTTCGAGACGTTTGAGAGCCTCGGAGAGTCGTAGCGAAGCAGCGAAAGCTCCCTGAAGAGCATGTCAAAGGCGAGTCTTGAGACAATCAAACAATGACCTGATCCTTCACTTCAATGTCCTCCACATTGCCATCCTCGCTTGCGTTTGGATGCGAATCAACCGCAGGCAAAGCACGATGGGCCATTTCAACCACCGACTTGAAATGTTCGACGCGCGGCCCGTTGCTTTGCCCATCTCGAGCTCTTGCCTCCAGCTTGTATTCCTTCATCTCGAGCAACGCACTTGCAAGCTGCACTCGGAGCTGCTCGCAGTCAGAGAAACCACGGTTGACGCGTTCAAAGCACCTGCTTTCTGTTGTAATCGAAGAATATCCTCGAGATTCTTCCTTTGGCGAATCTGAACTTGTTTTGAAAGATTCTGCAGGACAACATGATTATGATTAGAACGGGATATGGCCGCAGGAAAAGCGATTTACCTGGCGCATATCAAGACGACACGTCCCTTTGCCTTGAGGCAGAGTAATTGCTCAATCAACTGATCCTCCCATTTTGAAGGTTCAAAAGCTTTGATGATGGCGGAGATCAAGTGAGATGTAGCAAATATCCCTATGAGCATGAGGCAGCAGCAGATTGCTCTGCCAGCATGTGTCACGGGATATACATCTCCTACACCACCAGTGAGTTCTGATGAGATCACATAACTCCAATCAACCGTATCCCGTTGTAGACAACGTTGAGAGGCTCATCCAGAGATTTGTCCAATAATACTGAGACGCGCCGTTGGTCCATCTTCCTTCTGCAATGCGGAGCGCATACGACGAGACAAAGATCACAAAAACCAGAACCACCGTAATGAGTTCGATCGCATGATGTCTCATTGCAATACGAAATGTAAAGGAGAAAGAATTCTTCATGGAGAGCTTCATGGCTTTGAGATCACCTGTCGAGAAGGCTGTGTCGTCTATAATTCTCTTCTGCACATAAGCCATGGCGAGGTTACAGAAGTGGTACAATTTTACAATCATGATGATCGTAAGGATCTCGTCAATACTGTGCGTCTCAATGTGACCCATGGTTTCTACTCTGACATATTTCGAAAATCCTGGGATGGGATGTATCATGGAAAGAATGACTTCAATGGCCGTGCTAACGTGGAGATATCTCCTGTATGACTCTAACCTGCTATCATCGATGGCTCGGTTGTCGTTAAGGGCGTTGAATGTTTCGCTGTGCTTTAAGATTCGGTATCGACATTGATTGCACATGCAGACCAAAATTGACAGAGCGACCGCTAGGACTGTTCCAGTGCTCTTGATGAAGATTTCTTCGTGAGCTTTTGCTTCACAAGCATCATTCTGGATGATAGTGCAAAGTTCTATGGAGGCAACAGCGAAGACTATGCCCAGGAGGGCGACGACTGAGGCCAGGACCTTGAGCACTAGAAAACGGCTCTTGAGCTTGCGAACATGGCGTGCTAGGCCAGTCATGGAGCGCTCTCTGCTCATATAATAGAGTACTCGATCGCTGAGCCTTCGTCTCCTCTTGAGGAAGGAAGAAGACGCGGTTCTAGAAATGATTGAGCTGGTGCGACGGGGAACATGCCCCATCCCTGCCGACTCCTCCCGAATTTCTGGCGAAGCGTCCATACTGCCCCGATCAAGAGGGTTGAGCGATGAACGCGGCGATTCAGCTTCCGATTCTCTCAAGTGTGATAGGCAGACATCCTCCCGGAGACCCGAACAACTTCAGGACTGGGGTGAGATGCATGAAACCAACTTGAAACAGGGCGCTGTCTTTTAGTGCGATTCCAACTTTGCCATCTCTGACTCAGATCACCCGGTGACCCGCAGCGACAAGCTTTCTCTGCTCAGCCTGTCAGTGAAGGTTAGTTCAAGTGCGGCGACTCTGACAGTTCACTGTTTACGACTCTGACAGTCACTGTTTACCGACTCCAGCAGCTGGCCTGACCCTCATAAGCGTACTCCCCCTCCTCTCTACCCTCTACAACTTGCTCGCCTTGACGCGATCAGCACTGCACCGGCAGTTAAAAAAACGACTCGGAGGTCAAAACTGCACTGCAACTTCCTCAACGGCTGCAACAAATTCGTTATAAAGAGTAACGGAATGCATTGAGATGCGCTGGCTAGGATGCTCTGGAGGGGTCCTTCCATGACGAATTGTGCTTGGAAAAGAGGGGTGGGTACCAACGTTAGAGTCGGCATGGCGAGGGGTTTAGCTGGACGGTTCATGTTGATCATGGCGGCGGTGGTAGTGATGACGATGGTGCCCATGGCGTCTCAAGCTGCGCGCATGTCGAGCATGGACCAGGTTGTCCTGTTGTTGATGCCTTCTCCTCGGCCTCTCCTGACCGTTTCCTGCTCTGTAGGAGGAGGAGAACAATTTGTTGGACGCAGAAATCTCCTTCTTCCATGAGAAGGACACGAACAAGGATGGCGCGCTGAGCAAGAAAGAATTCTACTACGCCATCATGGAGGACGAGTTCGAGGGGTTTGCGAAGCGACATGCCTTCTCGGTGGTGGATCTGGAGTTCGAGGCGCATGATAGGAATCAAGACAAGAAAATCAACCTCGAAGAATGGAAGGGGATCTTCTTCCACGACTCCCCGCAGATTCCAGATTACATTGACGGCGTGGTAAAGTCTGGATGCTCGTGGAGTGACAGCTGAAATTTGTGGCAGGACAACACAGAGGTTGACACGTCCGAGCTGTGGAAGTCAGCTCCAATCCCCGAGAGCGCACCCCCGGCCAAGCAAGAGTCGCAGCTGCAGGTTGAGGGTGAGGTCGCGGACTCTCGGGGTCTCAGGTACTATCTTTCGGAGGGAGCCACTTGGTACCAGAGCAGGAGGTTCTGCATCCTCAAGAACAGGCGTCTCTGTTCCTACGAGGAAATTTGCCCGAGCATCAACAACGACGATAAGATTCCCGGCGACATGAAGATGACACGTTGGGTTCCCATGCGCAGTGAAGGACATCTGTGGATAGAAGCGAGGAATTGCGGGCTGACGCGCTTCCCTGACACCGCAGAGCACTCAGGGTTGATCCCCTGCTGCTCGGATTCGGAAGAGGAGATGTTCGATGCCAAGAAAACTGGCTCAGAGGAGGAGGAGGCGCGTGAGCAGCAAGGCTCTGGTACCTCCAATGCTTCAGCAACCAGCCAGGACGGATCGGACTCCATCCTCGCGGGCAACAAGACGGGAGCTTCCAACTCCAGCGGCCGGAAGGCAGCCAGCGAGCCTCATGTTGAAACGAAGTCGAGTTTCGAGGGTGCCAAGGGGCCTGAGGAGGATAGAGGAAAGTCGACCAAGGGCGAGGAGGAGCATCAGGACGCTTCGGCAGCCAGCAAGAAATCGAGCAAGTCCAAGGCAGGGGAGCAGAAACCCTCCGCTGCTGAGGACCCTGTAGCAGAGCAAAAGGCCAAGTTGCGCGCAGCTCGAAAGAAAGGTCGGGCACCTGCGAGGTTCTTCGATGAGACATGCAGACTGACGGGACTGCAGCAGCCGCGACTGGTAGCGCAAGCAGCAGCAGCAGCAGCAGCACTGGAGAAACGTCGAAGAAAGGTAAGGCTGCAGGCGACACATGTGCTGTTTGACATGTCGCAGTTAAATTGGATAGGAGTGCAAGCGCGGGCGAGGATGGATCCGCGACGAAAGCAAAGAGGAAGAACAGAAAGAAGGCTCCTAAGATTGTCTGAAGTTGTCTGAGCAAAGCTCTGCTCCAGGTCTGAACGTATCCCCTCCATGTCTGCGACTCGCGTCCATTCATTTGTGTGCAATAAACGGAAAAGAATCAGAGGGGGCGGGGAGGGGGAGAGGGGGAGAGAGAAGAAGGGAGAGGGAGGAAGAGAACATGAGGCTTCTCGCACGAGATGGCTGCTCTTCGTGCTTACTAGTGGTCAGCTTCACCTGCCCCCCGCCACCTGCCGTTGCCGCTGGTTTGGAGATGCGGCTCGTCGTCTGTGAATTTACGGAGGAAAACCTGAAAGGGAGGGGGGCGGGGGGGGAGAGCAGGAGGGGAGGGCGGCAGCGCAGGGGAGGAGACGCAAAGACAATCATGGGTCAGAGGATCAGACAGGATGTTGATAGACAGAGAAGGAGGAGAGGGAGGGAGGGAGGGAGGGAGGGAGGGAGGGAGGAGACGATGTGGATAAATCAGAAATGTTCCAACAGAAAGAAGCATGACGAGGTTTTTGTGCTGGCTGACAGCTCCCAACGTAGGGTGATGGGATATGATAACAGTATCTGCACTCTTGCTCTTCACTCTGTCGACTTGGTGTTCAGCAAGCCATGGCGCATCGCGGCTCCTTGAAACCCCTGCGTCGCTCCGCTGCCAATCTTTTGACTCCCTCCTTGTCTCGCACGACCTGAAGGGTGGAGGAGGGAAGAACGTGCGGCTAGCAGTGAGAAGACAGCCTGGGAATGCCTACACGCCCAGCAAGAACCGTCCCGTCCCCAAGTATGAACTTCTTCCAGCTGAATAGACAGCATGTTGTTGATTCCGTGCATGTGACGGATCCCAGGAGCCGCAAGAACGAGGGCCCAGTCGCAAGGATGAACAGAAAGATCACATCACACATACATCGCAAGATCGAGATTCAGGCCATTCAGGTGCATGTGGGGATGGGGGAGGAGGAGTGGCTTTCTTCTTCTGACGGGCTCTTGCTCAAACAGCGATGCAACGAGCTTGGCAGCGCACTGCCACTCCCCAAGGAGACGTCTGGCGTTAGCCTCCCATCCTCCTCCTCTCCCGTCCAGCTGATTTCTTGATGCAGAAGACTGACAAGAAGCTGAACATGCCGGCGCTGACGCCGGGGGACAAGTGAGCTCAACACGCCGACAGGCTTCCACGAGCTGATGGTCTTTATACAGGTATATACACAAGATAAGATCGCTGGCGGGAAGGAATCGGAGGAAAGGAGGGAGCGTAGGAAAATCCAAACGACGGTGATGGACCTGTCAAGCGCATGCAACAGACATGACGACTTGAGCCTGAACCCGTGCGACGGAGTTTCCGATGCAGATCTCCCGCCCTGCAGCAACTCGTGACGGCCTTTCCTTCTGCCGAGGGTGCATACCTGCCGCAGACAGCTCCTCTGTCTCTCTGTCAAAGTAGTGATATCCTGAAAAAGCTTCAGTGCAATCAGCAGGCTCGTGCGCTCGCTACCATCGATGCACTTCTCGGGTCGGCCATGGGACGACACGTGGGTGTCGATGAAAGCGATGTCGTGCGCTCGCATCACTTCGCGTGCGATCGCGTTCACGTGCTGCTCATGATGCCATCATGCTTCAATCGTCACGCAGCATGTGCGAACCTGGACCCTCGGATCCCTCAGCCCTCGCTCGATGATCGACCTTCCCCCCGGGCTGCTCCCAGAGTGTTCAGCGAACACAGGAAAACTGAGAGTTGAGCTCACGGGATATGAAGAGCATCGCCCGTCCGAAAGAAGACCGTCCCCTGATGGAGGAGAGGGTCAATCATCTTCACTGACCAACTCAGCTCACCTTGAGGCCCTTGAGAAATCTAGCGAGCTGCTTGACGTTTGCCTCGTACTCGGCCAATGACCCCAGATGAATGTCATGAACACTCGCCTACCTGCGTGTGAGTGTGCGGGCTTTGAGATTGCTCTCCTCACCTGGACGATCACCTTGTCTTGAGGACCATAGCTGAACTTCTCCAGCCAGCTTGAGAGCTTCTCCACTAAGAGCTCATAGTCCAAATTCCCCTACCCAACCCGGTCACTTCGCAAGTTCACTTCTATCAAAGTCAACACCACCTCGAAGTTGTATTCCGGCACCATCCAATGGAAATACAGCTGAGGACTGATGTCTGTGGCAGCCAAGTCAGTCCAGTACTTCCTTGGCTGGACTTGAGTGGTTCCAAGGAGCTACAGGGAGGTAAGTCATCAAAGCTCATCATCCCGTATATGTCTACCTTGCCGACATCGAAGAACAAAGTTCTCATCTGAGAGCTCCCAACCATGAAGACTCTCGACTGGTTGAGGTTCGAACATGCGCCCACCGATTCTCGGTCGTACCGCATCAGTTTGCAGTGCCACGGCACCCAGACATACTCGTCATCAGGCTGCCCGTCAAGTTTGCAGCCGGTCGATATGCTTTCGCAAACCTCTTTCCTAATCCACCGGCCCGAAAACCTTCCACCGGCAAACTCGTCAAAGCCGCTCAAGCCACAATGTTTGCAGGAACACAGTGGGGTGTGCATGTAGGGGTTTACATGATACAGCATCTGCTTCTTGCTCGGAATCACGTTGACAGTGAAGGGGCTCCCAGCAATATTCCATCCTATAACATCCTGGCTTTCCTCCTCCCCAAAATCTTGAAATCCACTCCCGTGAATGTAGTGCAGGACGATCTCCAGCGAATACTCCCCGGGTTCAGCCACGAAGTACTTTCCCGAGTAACTTCCATTCTGATGATCCAGAACTTGTCCCATCACGAGGGAAGGGCCTCGCAATCTCACATAATAAGACGCTCCTCCCCTTTCCTCCAAGTTTCCGTGCCCATCTCGAGCCTCTATGGTGAATGTAGCAAACTCGCCAGCGTTGGCAATAGTAAGGCCCTCACCCCTCGCCACGTGGTTTCGAGCCCACGAGTGATCAGGCCAAACATAGAAGACTACGTTGGACGTCCACTCAGTCCTGCTCCCGGGAGCGTTGCTCTGTGGATCCTGGATGAGATGGACAGAAAGAAGATAATCTCTCGGGGAGACCCGGGGTATCGCAACCCTGAACTCAGGGGCTCGGTGGTTGTCGGCCAAGATGGTGCCCGCAAGCTCCACTAACAGATGATGACTCTGTCCTAGCCTGTCGTCATTCACCACAAAGTGGATGTTCACGTCGTTGGGGTCCATGAAAGAGCTCATGTTCTTCTTTGGGGAAATCAGCTTGATCCGCTTCGGTGGCGTCGGCGGATCCCGGGCGCCGAGATCTTCTGCTTCGCTCGTCTTTGCTATCTTTTCAAAGCCCAGCGATGTCTCTGCAAACAAATCGAAATCATATTCATTCTGCCTTCCTATCAGGAGGGTAAACGTGTGTTGTCCGTCACTCAGGCCCTCTGTGGAAAGCTGAACCTTGCACCCATCTTGGCAGTCAAGGGGTTTCGTCAAGGGAAACGGTGCAGCTGTTCCATCCATCATAGCTTGAAACACCAGTCCATGCAACTCATCTCCACCATCTGGGTCCAATGAAGTAAAAAACTTCACATCCAAGGTATCCTGCAATACATGATCCTGCGCGGGCTCAACTATCTCGATTTGCAGAGCAGCACAAGTGGCAAACAGTAAGATGACGGAGAAGAACAGAGCACGTGTAGCCGAGAGCATCATCCATGTCATAATCTCTGCTTCTCACAAGCTTGATTTAGCGCTCATCTCACCATCGTCGCTACTCTCCCTTCATCATTGCGTTAGTGTTCCTCTACACATTTCACGAACACGCTGGGTTGGTTCCTTCCCTGACAAAATACCCCTACCTCCTCTGCGCACAGGAGAAGTGCCCGTATTTGAAATACCCACCTCCTAGACTGTCATATTGAGGGTGGGGGTGTACCTTCTATTTCTGCGCCATGTTCGAGCTTCTGAAGGCTGGCGATATGCCGCCCCCACCGCCGGCTGGAAAATGCTACGTCATGGCGTTTCCTGTGAAGGTACTCCTCTCCGTCTATGAAGTCTTCTGTGTTGTCTTTGTGTTATTCGATCTTTGAAGAGGAAGTGGGAGAAGGGGGGACGGAGAGAGGAAGGGAGAGAGAAAAATGTGTATGTCTGCTGTGGTCGATGCTCTTGATATAACCTCATGAATATCCTGTGTGTTAGGGAATTGAAACTGATTGAATCATCTCAGTATGGACTTCCTCCTGTCTGTGTTGAAGGCCAGACTCCTGATTCTCCTGGCCACGTGAAGGCGGCATTCAAGCATCTGCAGAAAGTTGCAGGTGAGATTATGCTGTCTTCGCATCTACATGTTCGCTCGTTCAGTCCGATTCTTCGTAGCCGAATTCGATTTCTTCGTATTCTAAATTTGAGCGCAGCTGAGCGAAAGATGTTTCAACTTAATGCGAATTCTGGATCTGCCCTGGCAGAGAGATGGAACAGGCGAATGGGGAAATAAAGCAGGAAGGCAGGTCATCAGCATGATGCCGTCATGATACAATAATAAACGCAAATTTTTCGAATTGTAGAAGTCTTCTCAGTGTGTGTGTGTTTGTCTGTTGAATAGATAACTGACGTGAAGGGAATATGGTCTACTCAGATTCAACTGTGGGCTATGAAGTGGGTGTTGAAAGTGGGATCAGCAGAACAGGAAGCTTTCAATGGTCTCTGAGACAATTTTCAATGCAAAATGAACAACGTGCAATATCGTGCTATATCATGACTATCCACGGACACAATCTAAACAACTTCTTGAAACGCAACCCTTTAACCGTTCAACACAAAAAAAGCATCAAGTTTAACTGCCATCTTGAGTTGCCTCCATCACATTGTTCACCCCCCTCTGTGCAAGAGCCCGCAACCTACGAGCCTTGTCCGAAAGCTCTGCAGCCTTGTAGCGAGCCTCTCTGGCCTGCTTTCTAAGAAGAGCCTCCTTGTCCTCAGCCTGATAACGGAGTTAAAAGAGATGCTACGTCACATTTCAATGAGTTTACCTGAAGAGAAATGGCCATTTCGGTCTGAGCACGGTTCTTGTAGTGCTCAAATTGCTTCCTCTTTTCACCAAGCTCAGACTGGGTGGATTGGATCAATCCGTCGATGGTGTCCGCCCTGGCGAGGAGCGCATCTGCGCGAGACTGGAGCTGATCCGCCTGATCGGTGAGCTGCGCAAACTCTTGGAAGTGGAAATCAGAGCTACGCTTGTCCTTCTCCGCATCGATAATGAGGGGCTGGTACTGATCAGCAAGCTTGCGAGCATCGGCGGTCTCCTCATCAGCCTTGGCTTTCTTCGCTGTGATAGCGGCGAGATCCTGCTGAGCCTTGCGAAGCTCACCCTTCAATTCAACAGCTGCTGCTGCTCCTGGGTTCTCTCCATGTCCACTGGCTGTGCCATATTCAGTGGCAACCTCAGCCAGCGTCAAAGACTGAGCGTTCATCTGATCAAGGATTTCTTGAGCATTCATCGTGGCAGTGTCAATCTTCTTGACAGCGTCGCTGTACTCGTCCATAGTCTTATAGTACTTTGCCTTCAAAGCAGCTGCGCTCTCCTTCTCGGTCTTAGCCTGGCCAAGAAGTTCGGCGGCCATCTCCTGAAGTCTGCCAGCCTTGGCCTTGAGCTTGGTTGCCTGGTTAACCTATGAACCGAAATAAGTCAGCACGGTCTGTCGAATGCTTCTCCAGTGCGAAGACCAAAAACATGCTTCTCAAGTGCGCAAAAAAAAAATACAAATGCAATAGAACATGCATTGTGGATCATTCACACATCTCTCCTGAAAATTAAAAACCAACCTGATCTCTGCCTTCCTCCAAGATCTTGTCGATGCGAGACTTAACATCAGCAGCAAGGTAAGCGGATTGTCTGGCACGCTTCTCTTCCTTGGCAGCCAAATCTCTCTCGCCGGCAGCGGCATCATCGTTGTCACTGGCGAAGGCAATCTGCCTCTCAGCCTTCTGGTCGTAGTCCTGGGACTGTCGCTCAGCACGAACGGCATATCTGCCAACCTGCAGAGGGCTCAACTTCTCCTCTGCCTTGGCTTCCCATCCACTGAAGCTGATCACAAGCGTCACGACAGCAACCGCCAGGATGGCGGCGCCTCCAGCGCGCACGAGCATCGTCCTGGCGCGACCCTCCTGCATGGCGCCTCCTCTGTCTCTTCGCTCCAGCAGTTGACTGAAATAAACACGACCCTTCGTCGGCCCCTGTAGCCTATGCGTCAAAAGCGGTTCAGCCTGAGTATTCTGAGTAGTAAACTGTTGAACAGCCGGGCCCGCCGGGCCCGGTCCGGGCCTCCGGTCGGAGCCCGGCCGGCCTGAGCGGTTCAGCCTCAGTACGCTCGGACTCCGGGATGGCATGCCGACTGCCGCGTCAGTGGGTGCCACCGGGCACTGCGGCAGCCCCCCGGCCGCATCACGGTGACGGACCCGGGGGCCCGGCGAGCACAGCGGCACCGGGCCGCGCGGCCCGGGCCGGACTGAGTCAAAAGCAGGCCGCCGGAGCCGCACGTTCACCGTGGCACCGTCCGTCACTGCGGCCGGGCGGCCGTAGCACTGTCAACTTACTAACGTGAAATCATGCCACAACTTGACAAGGAAGTTCAGATCGTATGATAAGGAAGTGATTCATGTAAGGTATATGATCCAGTGGAAAAGTCCGAACTTGTGAACGCGGCGCCGCGCAGAACATTGCGGCGGCTACGTTACGATGACACTCTGAAAGAGCCGAGGAACTCACAACTGGAGCTGTCGAAGTAGCCGACGTCAACCTGAAGCTTGGAGCTCGAGTCGACGGCGATTCCTTCGTCGAAGAAATAAACGATCTGCAGGGAAGGCAGACAGGCCCGCCAGTCAGTCACAAGCTAACGGCAATGTGGAAATGGAGGGACAGAGGGAAGATTAGGATCGTTTCACCTGCTTGCAATGGTCGACCGAGTCTTCCTTGGGACCCCAGGAGAGAGAGACGTTCTCAGTCAACTTCCAGTCGATCCAGAGGACAACAGCATGGCAGGTGCCGGGGGATGAGAAGCTGAGACTCGGCACGGAAGTGCACGGCAGTACTGAATCCAAGGTGAAGCCCTCCACATGATGCTTGTCCTTGACTTCGCTACCAAAATCCATCGTCTGGTATGAAACTGAGCTTTCCCAGGTTCGGCAGCCCAACTTACCAGCAGAGCAAATTCAGGAGTGAGCGGCCGCCAGTCGTACATCCAAAGATCGTACGCCACCCCTGGAGGCGGCTCAAGTCCTATGACCTCTGACTAAGACTTGCAGCTCTCAGGGACTTGCGATGTACCTAGAGGCTGGATGTCGCAGAAGCTTTCCAGGTTCAGGTTCTCTACCATCCTCACTCGCTGTCTACAAGGATCGTTCAACACCGGAAAGGGGAGGGGGGAGGGCTAGATGACTCACTGACTATTCCTGAGCTGAGAAAACTCCACAGCAACACCCCTGATGCTGCAAGAGATGAAATCGTGTCATGAGTTGTCCGAGCAGAAGAAAGCGTTACGATGCAGCACAAGGAAGGATGGCAACGTCCTGCTTTAAGACTTTCTTCCTGATTGCTTCCACAGCCTTCCAATAAGACAGGTTGTTGAACTGCAAGTACTCTCATTCCTCTCTCCTTGAAGATTTCTCTGCATGTGAGTACCTGTGTCCCTCCTCCTCCAGCAAACGCCCCAACACCGGACTCAAAGAAGAAAGGATCTGCACAGACAAAGTCGACGGTGAGATGCCGTTGGGACAGCTCTGCTTCGAGGACTTCGCAAGCATCGTCCGCGCTCTCGAAATACTGCGGTATAAGAAGAGCGTTGGCTTTCTCGTGGCATCCAGCAGCCTGAAAACATGAGGTGGCCATGAGCAACGAGTTTTCTGACACCTGAATCAAATGTTATGGCAGCTCACACTAATCTTGAATCACCTCCACGTCAATTACATGTCTGCAGCCCAGCTCGCTTGCGATCAAGCCGAGCGCATGGCCATCTCCTATACAAAGAACAACAGTGTCTTTTTTCACGTGCTGCATCAGCGCTTCTCTGTACAGCATTTCTACATCCCTGTCTGCCAACATTCGAAGCTTGTGTCCACCGAAACTCACTCTCGGGCTGTCTGCCTTCGTAGCTGGCTGATCAGACCTGAATCTCTGCACAGCATCGAGTGAAATTGAGGATGATTTGGCATAAGCCTCAAACCAGATCCTGAAAATCTGTGAAAAACAGAAGACAAATGGAAAGATTGACCTCCAGTCATCATGAACAGCCCGTACGACAACCGTGTCACCCTTTGCCACGATGAGTGGCCTCTCCAGCATGCAGACGTTTTGTCGCCAGTGATCTCTCCAACCAGCTCCAGGCGCCATGCTAAGCACTCCTTGAGACGGTCGGTCATTTACCTTATGACCAATCAATGACTTGGGGCAAACAGCATTCAAGTAAGTACTCTTTCGGACAGGCGGCTTGTAGCCTCAGGGTTTTCGTCACCGGAACACATTCGAAGGTCCCACCAGTATGTGATAGCGTGAAGTGTTCCCGTTTCTTGGATACTGACATCTATCCATTCACCTTCACCAATGCAAGGTAAGAAACTACAGGCTGATACAGGAGGACAGATCATCTTGTACCGTGGTGGACCCCCTGCTCATGAACCTTCGCGAAATCGATGGAAAGACAAAGACTCGGCTCACTCAGACATTTTCCTCCTCCCTAAACAATGACATGATGGTTTCAGATCGGGTGATTAACATGCAAAATGATCTACTTTCAACAGCAGTTTGTCCACGAACACGGATTCGGCGATCATCGTACACATCACTGAGTTCGTGACATTCTGAGCTTCTTTTGAAGGAAACATTTGATTCCCAACCGCTGTATAAATGGTATCTGGGTAGTAACCTTTCAAGAAATCATGAGAAGGAACAGATGAGCTGAGTTCAACAGCATGTTCAGTGACCTCGCGAGAGGATCTCACTTTCCATCGCAAAGCAGATGATATCTGCTTGGCTAGGAATGACCATACAGTCAGGTTCTGACAACTTTTCTAGGGCATGTCGGAGGGTAGGCAACACTCCTTCACCGAGAAGCTCAGTGTCCTGTATGCACATGTTAGAAGATCCGCACTCAGAGATTTTTGCTGATCTACATATAATTCGTTGACGATTATGTCCACTTTTTGCCCATCCCTCATCCATTCAGCTGTAAGTTTCGTTGACGCTTCAGTTATCAAAGTGATTTCGCTATCTAGGCTGTTTGCAGCAAGACACTTTCTGGCTGATCTGTATTCCAAGTTACAAAATTCATGGCCGTCATTCAAAACCTTGCGACGGGCTCAAAGCATTCGCATGCAGTCACAGCTGTTGCACCTTCCTGTTTTGCCATCATAGCAAGTAATCCTGAGCCTGTTCCGATATCTAAGACTGCGACCGAACTTCCCTTCTGCTGTTTTTTAAGAAGAATTCCTCTGCTTAACCCATCCCGATAAGCTTGATTTCTTGATATGTCACGGAGCATATCAAGATAGTATGACTCTCCCACCTGCACGAACCTTTCATAAAACATTTCTTGTTCAATAACAGTCACCTCTGATCGCCACTCTTCCTCTTCATCCTCGTTCCACATTCCAATCCCTCCTTTTGCTCTCTTGCAGAAATCCACACTTTCATCGCTTGCTTCCATGTTTTGAGTGCAGTTCGTGGTGATGAGACGCGCCTGATCGTCAGGGAGTATGAATTTGCTCAGGTTTTCTGAATCCATAAGGTCCTGTCTCTACATCTCTCCCTCTTTGCGTCCACCCCCCGACCATCGTGCGATTCCTCAGCCATCGGCCGCATCGAGAATACTGTAAAGAAAAAAAAGAAAAAGAAAAAAGACGTGACATTCTTGTAACGGTTTCAATATGACCGTTACAACTGAGTCCGATGAGTCGGAAGTGAGGACCGGGCCGGGCAAGTCGAGCAAGTTGCTTTTTTATTAGGGTCCCTCGTCAACCCCCACCCACCGTCACATCATGACCTGGGGTGGGGTACTGTGAGTACTAGGACCCCCACCCTCTCCCGGTGGACGATTCCAGCCTCACCGGCCGGGGTCCGATGAGAGCCACCCCCTGGGCCCTGTGGGACCAAATTTTCAGAGCCCGGGGCCTCCTGACAAAGCTTTCCATCCCGCCAAGGCGCTTGATGGCGCAAGATGGTCAACGAGAGAAGGGAGTAGGACAGAACATGACGCTAACAGATGAGAAGCAGAAGAAATGATCTTGAACAAGACTGAAGAAAGCAGGTGAGACTGGGAGCCATGGAACCAGTAAAAGCTGACTCATGATTAGCGACTCTTCCGAGTCAATGCTAGACTGATCTTTCTAGTCGAATACCAATTCAACTTGTCAGGACAAATAATGGAGTCGATGGAAGAAGACAATGCCAAGATGAATGGATTCAAAGGTAGAGAGAAGTCAATATTTGGTCGCTTGACAGTAGATTCTCAATCCGCAGCTGAGATGAATCCCGACGAACTTGTGGGATTTTATTCTGAACAATTGGATGATGATCCCAACCAGAGTATCTACAACTCACATAAAGGGTGAGATCTCCCTTGTTGCCTGCGTGCATCGATCATCATACGACAGGATAAAATACAAAAACATGACAATCAGTGGGAAAGTATTGATGCAAGACTTTTTTGGATTGGCGGACTGGAGTAACGTTAGGAGATATGATGGAATGTGGAAAGGCGCAGTGGAGGACGGCTTGGGACGCGAAGCCTGGTTTGATGGAGCGTCATATTGTGGACAATTCAAGGATGGATTTCGGCATGGGTACGGTATTTATCTTCACCGTTCTTCTCTCGGCTACGAAAAGAATTTTAGGTTTGTTTGCATTTGTGCCATAAATCTAATTTAGCGGCTCACTGTGAAGAAGGGTGGACCAAGACAGTCCATACTTCAATGACCAACCATGGCTGAATTGTGCTCCATACTCCCCGGTGACAACGATCTTTGGCTGATTGTGACAGTTGATGCTCAATGATGAAATGCAGAGGTGGAAGTCAGCAGCTCTTGGATGGCTGTATGCAGGACAGTTTGAGAAAGGGTTTCGTCACGGATATGGATCCATGGTCATGAGGAATGGAGATATATTTGAGGGAAAGTTCGAGAACGATAGAAAACATGGTTTGCCGAATTCAAACACGTACCAATGTAGAACTCAAGCATTGCTTTGCAGGATTTGGCATTGAGATGGTGAACTCCAAAAGTGTTACTCTGCAGCTGTGGGTCAAGGGAAATCTTTTTTTGCGCTATAATCCCGCTTCAGAAAATTCATTTACGGTAAAACAAGGGTCAAAGAATTTAACAAGTGACGCTGTTGGCACAGATAAATCTGGAAGTGAGGTATGCAAATGGAGAGTTTTTCCATTCCAACGTCACTTTCCTTCTTAATTCGAATATGAGGACAATTTTTATGACTGCACCATCCAAACGTCTGCCATTTCAAATATTACTTCGTAATGGCTAATTCCCTTTGTGCTAGGGTCCAACATGGAGGGCAATCTGAATTTCAGTTACCTCAAAGTTACTAAATTCGAGCATCATCAAAGACAGTCCTTTAGAATAGAATATCTTGCTGAGTCAGAATCTTCGTCGGGGACTCTGGAAATTAAAACAGGTGCGGTCTGTTTGTTTATGTTCACCCGAATGTAAATGAATTTTCAGAAAACGAAAATATCTTCAACTTTCTAAGATTATCACTTGATCTCTTACTATTGAAGAATAGGCAAAGATGGCGGCTAGAAGAGAAGATGTTTCTGAATCCTTTGATAGGTACCTTGATGCTGGAAAGGAGGAAGAAGACTTTGCAAAGCATGTGGTCCAGACAGTTTACAATGTGGATTGTGAAGTTGGAACGTCAAAATCGAAACTGGAATACATGTCTGAGGTCGTTTGTTTTCTAGGAATTTGAAATAGTAACTTTGGCTTACCTCAATCTTTTACAGATACGAAGGCATGTTGCGAAAGCGGATGCATGCCATCTTTCATCTTTCAAACTTGTCTCATCATCGTATATGAAGCTGGTTGCTTCTTGGTCTGAGAACGAGAATCCTTCGCAAGGACTCTCGAACAACATCACTTTTCAAGATGCCACGTATCCTAGCACCTGTTCTAGTACTTAAATCTGACGGTGATTTCTCGACAGATGTGTATCAGACACAGAGTTGATCGCGAACCTTGATGTTCTGAAAAGGTGAATTCTGCCAAAAGACATTTGCAGAGCTGAGAAGTCATCGCAGAAATGGAGATATGGAAAACCACATCAGCTCCTTTTTCAAGGCCATCATCATATCATCCTTGGAGTTGTGTGCTGTATACTGTCGGACTCATCTTGTATATAGGTTTCTCATCACAGCAGTACAAGGCTTTAGAACTAACGATCCATTGATTTTAGCTTCGGGTTCTTAAGATTTCCAATTCATCATGGACTAGAAATGAGCAGGGATAGCATCAGCCATCCCCAAGCAAAACCTCTCAAGTACGGAGACCAGATGTTATATATTCTTTGATTCCTTTCTGCTTCAGTTCACCAGTCCAAAAGACGGCGTACATGTTGCTGCATTCTCAAAGGCAGAGAGAGATTGCTCAAATGGTAAGATTGTTTGGCTTCATCTGAAACTGAACATGAACCAGGAATACTTGGAATCTGAGAGACAATTGGAGGAGGCCAAATTGCAAATTGAGAGGGTAATTCATAGATACCCAGGCTTGATATCGATCTGACGCACACATTCAAGACACATGCTGTGCAAAAAGCTATGACCTTAGAGGTGAAGGCAAGAGCAGAGACTGCAGAAAAAGAGGTGTTAGCAACAATTCTTCGTCAAGGATTTCATGAGCTGACAAACTGCAGATCAAAAAAATGCAAAATCGGATTGAAGAGGACACACAACGAATAACAGATCTTGAGAATATAGTAAAAAGTTTCAGCTGGTTACCAAATAATATGCATGGGTCATAGATTTATGTTTTCATCAGGCACCAAAAAAAGTTTCGGACGAGAGTTCTACAGAGCCTGACGAGGAAACGAGCCTTTTCAATACAAAGAACCTGCTTCGATTCCTTGAAGGTGATTTCAAGATATTGGAACTGTCCATTTCAATGACATAACTTGTTAGATTCTTGCTCGAAGATACAGATTAGCTGATTTGACATCAAGTTCCAAAAACCGTCGTTCAATGCTATGCACGTATGACCACTGGGTCACGGTCGCTGTTCGAAAAAGGAAAGCAAGTCGAGCTCTCAGCAAGCATTATCGTCGGCTTGTTTCATGTACATTCCATGTGTGGGTAAAGGATGCATTGCTTGCCAAGTTGCACCAAAAGGAGTGCGTGATCGACAACAAGAACAATCGTTTCTTGTTGTTGAAAATGTTTCGAGAATGGAATGCGGAGGTCTCCTCCTCTCGGCTAAACAACACAATTCTTGACAATAGGTACGTCTGCATGACATTCTCTCTGTGTCATTGACCCTTTATCAAGTCGCCTGAGGTTTATTTGTCATCGTTTACTTCAGCAAAGATCCAAGCTTGACGGTGAGATGACAGTGATAGACTGATTTGTCAATGAAGTTGCTGCTGCATAGATTGTGTCGAGAATCAGCTCTCACGTAAGTCGCTTCAGACTATTTGGACAATTTGGCGACGAGAAATTATGCATGCATCACATACGAAAAGTGAATCAACGCGAAATGTTATGATTGAATGGAGCCGTTATGTTCAAGAGAGGCAAATGCAGAAGAGGATAGTAAGCAGATTCCAGCAGAAGAAAAGCGATTTTTGTGTATTCAAAGTCTTCACACTCTGGCGACACGAAACTTCAGACGGAGATGGTAATGCACATGCATTCAATGTTTGGAGCAGTCTGAGCAATCTTGAAGGCTCAATTTTAACTGCAAAGGCAGCTTCTGTACAGAACACAGAACGGCTGGGACCCGGAAGTCAAGGGAAGCGAAGGTCCGGCTGGATACTTCATATACAATACAATCTATGTCGAACATTTTTGTACTGGGTGAGATTTTGGTTGTTGTCAAAGCAAGCCAAGAAAATTAAGCGGACGGAAAATATCAAATCTCATCAACTCCTGTCGAGAAAATATATGGAAATGTTGCATGGTTACATGCGTACCAGGAGAAGTCATCGGAAGAAGATCGGGGCATTTCGAAGAAGACGACATTTTGACCTACAAGTGTTCTGCGTCGTATACTGGAGGCGATCGACTTGGAAAAGGAGAAAACTCAGTTTATTGTTGATGAACTGGGAAGATAGAAGGATATCAAGCCATTTCCTCTCTTGGTATTCATGTTGTCAGTACCAACGGTCGCTGCATCAAAGGCTTCTGAAACTGACGAGCAACAACAAGACGAAAGAACTTCATCACTGGTTTCTGCAGTGGATTCACCACAAGAAGAAGTACAGGCTGCGGATTACCTGCCAGGAGTACGTGAGGATCCAGAAGTTGAAGCGGATGATCCGATACTGGAAATTTTACATCCAGGTATCAGCCATGGAATCTGCATCCCTGATCTTGCCTGACGAAGCTTCAGGCGAGCATGCAGAACAGCAAGAGAATCGTGCGGACACTACTGACAAGGCAGCGCAGACTATCAGGTGAACCCTTTGAGCTCTCGCTGCCTGTTCTTACTGCTGACCAGAACGGGCGCTGGGCTCATGGAAGGGCTGGGTCATTCAGGCAAGGAGGCAGACTATCAGCTTCTTCAACGCGGCTAGAAAGAGGGCAATAGGCTTGCAGGTTTACTCCTTTAACAGCTGGAAGGATGCCTACGGCCACCAGCTCAGGATCCAGCAGGAGCTGGCAGGCTTCGCTCGGTCGCTGATGGAGCTCCAAGCTAGGGAGGGAGTCTGGATCTTAGAGGGCCTGGAGGTCCTCAAGAGTAAGATTCAGTTGGAGCCCCTCCTCCCCCCTCCACAAGCTCAAACGCTGTGGTCGGGCTCAGTATGGGAGGCGTCAGACGACGCTGAGACAACTTGGATTTACGCCGCATTATAGGAGGGAAGGAAACGGATCCAGAGCTTAGGAAGGAGCGCCCGCTCTAAATTTTGACAAGTTTTATTGAGACTCGATGGCAAGTGTCGCTGTAAATGCATGTACATCAAGCGAAACAGCCGTCGAGGTTCGTCGTGCTGCAAGAATAAATAACATTCGCTCGTCGCTCGGCATCATTTCTTCGGGGGATCCTTCGGACCGGGCATCCCGCTCTGTTTCATCTGTCTTACCATCAGCTGCTGTTCAGACCTCTGACTCAACTACCTGAGGAGGCTGGCACGCCATTCCTGCGTAGCTCCCCACCCCCCCCACCACCTGAGCTCAGCGTCACCTCAAGCAAGCTCGAATGCTTCTGCTCACCCCTGCTCCCGGGCGATGCATCATTGAGGCAGCAGCGGCAGCGGCAGCGGCAGCAGAGGACACTGGAGTTCCCTGCTGAGATGAGTCAACGCGACCAAACGCAACGAGAAGGTGTCACCGCTGGACGAACAACTCCCGACTGGTAGGCGTGACCCTGCGAGATCGAGGTGAGAGAGGAGAACAGAGCCGCCAAGTCTCACTGGTTGAACATGCGGCACTGCTGAAGTCGGGATGTTGCGCTGAAGTCAAGGGTGAGCCCGGGCCAATCCAGGACAGAGAAACTTGGCTCACCTGGCCACCAGGAGCTGTATAGGGGCGAGCCTGACAAGAGACAGGCTGAGCGATTCAAGAGAGGGGGGGGTGGACATAAATCTACCTGAGTGGCTCCTGTGTACATGCTTGAAACTCCCCCGGGCAGAGTGTGTGGCTGAACCTAAGATCCATGAGCCGACATGCGTACGAGGAGGAGCAAGAAGGGATACCCCTGCCTTGCCAGCTGGACGCGAGTTGGCAGCAGTCTGTCACAGCTGTCAGTGATATGCTCGGAGCCCTTGAAGCCATTGCAGTTCGCTCACCATAGGGCGCACTGGTACACCAGGCGGGTAGCTCGCCGCCGGGTGAGCGCTCGGGGTTGGGCTGCTTCCTATAACCTTGGCGTGCTGTGCAGGAGGGCTCTGCGGATCAAGTCAGGAGGACGAGTCACGTCATGTGTGGCGACTTTGATGGTTGTCGGTGGTGGGTGTCGAGCTGCAGTGACATGTCATCAAGCGGCTCTGTAGAGCAGGATTGCTCTCGTCACCTGCTGCAACCGGGTTGGTGCTCAAGACTTGAGAGGGAGGGGCTGACGTGCTTCCGTTCTGTCCCTGGTGGTTGTGGAGTGAGAGGAAGGGAACGGGATGAAGAAACTTCACGGTGGCAGCAGTAGAAGGCGGTGGGATGCTCGAGGAGCTTGGGCTGTTTGCCTCCCTTTTCTTGCCAATGTGGGAGTCTGAGAGCGGCTGCCAACCTGAAGGCACTTGAGGTCTGGTGGAGGACCATCCCTACCTCGACCTTCGCGGACCATGATGTCGTACTGTTGAGATCCGAACCTGCGAGCACTCTGGCTGTTTCCGATGTAACTTGCCGGCAACTTGGTCTCACGGTCACGAGAAGTCTCATGCAATCAAGCTGAGAGGGTCACCTGAGCTTGCGAGCCCTCGACAATCTTTCCTTCTTTGGTGACATCCTCCTGAAACAAGGTAAGAAGGTCGATCTCAACACGGCAGCTCTGTCCTTACCATCCGCATGTACACGTAGTACGAGGAAGGGGCTTTTGCCTGTAGCCAGATGGAAGAGACCTTTGCAAAAGTGTCAAGAAGCTAGCGGACCACTCAAAGGCAAGCGGACTTGTAGGTCTTTCTTGAACCTGCAGACAAGGTCAGAGGACGACGAGACGGTCGATGAGCATGCTTACCTCATCTGCCGCTCTGCGGGAGCCCCAGGGACCATCGATTCCCGAACGAGAAGGGCCCTGAAGGAGCAAAGAGAACGTCAAGAGGATACGACACCCCTTCTATCCCGAGGAGATCTGACCGGTTCATCGGCCCTGGCGAGTTCAATCCCACTGCAGGTGACAATGAGGAGAAGTGACTCAGAAAGCAAGAGCACGCATACTCTTCGGTGTGGCCAGTGGTGGAGGGCTGCCCAACGTGCCTGAAGCGCCTGATGACGCGAAGACGTTTGACAAGAGGCGGAGCTGAGAAACTTCAAAAGCTTCACCTGATTGCTGTTGGCCTCCGTTCGAGCTGAACAATTTGAGGATCGCAGAGACTCCTGCAGAGGAGATCAGAACTGCTGAGACAGGTAATGTTCAGTAAACGCCAGACCTGCAGTTGCCTCGTTCTTCTCCGCCTCCTCCCACTCCTGGAGTAACAGGGAGAGTGAGAAATTTATGTTCGTGCATGTCAGAGTGACTGACATGCTGCTGCTGAAGGAATCCTCTGATACCGGACACCCGCATCGCCCTGGTCTTAGCCAATTTCTCTGTGGAGCCATCAATCAGCCTACGGCTCAAAGAAACCACGAATAAGCAGAAGATTGCCTAGTTTTTGTGTTGCGTTAGGATCACGATTCCAATTATAGATAGTGTTCTGGCACCAAACAGTTATAAAGAGATTGGGAAAACAGAAACATATCTCACATGCATCTTGCGCATCGCCTCAAAGTCAAACGTCCTCCGGAATTTGCTGAATTCGGGCCTGGATAGGGACAAGCTCACAACATGAAGAGACTCAGGAAATCCTCAGGTGGTTCACCTCGCATTTCTTGGATGCCAAACCTGAGCTCTGAGTCAGAGGCAGAAACAAGGAGAACGCAAGATTACATGAACGCGTTGCAAGCTTCTAGAGATGAGGCTGAGGACTTTTCCGACCCTGGATTGCAAAATTCAATTCACTGTCGAAAGATGTTGAGTAGCAAAGCAGGGTCAGGACAAAGACAAGGAAGTCTAAGAAAGAGAACAGGAAACTGAGAGTATAAGAATTGAAGAAAAATGAAAGAAAACGAATGAACGATAGAGAGCATGAGTTGAGGACGAACGGAGCGAGATAAATGTCAAGCAGAACCTTGGGTGCGGATCAAGACATATTGAAGGTTGAAGCGCTGTAGAGGTCGAACGATTATCACTTTTGCACATCAGCAATGCAACAAACCCATAAGCATGTTCTGCTCCAGCTGCAAGATGTCGTCGAGTGACAGACCCTGCACGCAATCTCGTCAGTGATGAAAGCATCAAATTTCACTGAGTCACCTGGTTCCGGTGCCAGATCACCTTCAAGTCATTCGCGACGGACTAACATCGAATCTCAGGGACTGTCAGCCGTCAGCCACTCACCCTACCTGGTTGCTTGGCTGTAGCACAACGCGATGCACGTGAGGCTGTTCCCACAAGTTCAGCCAGCAAAACTTGCACGATTCGGTTTTTTATCACGCACCTTGAGATCATATTGCTTGGGCATGCGATGATCTTTGATCTGAAGTACATCGGGTGTCATGGGCTATCAAAAATCTTCACTCAGTACCTCTACTATCAGGCATCCGTCGAAATATTGGAACTCAAAGTCGCCCTGGCAAATCCCTCAGAACAACCTTTCTTCTTTTCATTTCAGTTTGACTCACGCAGCGATCCATGATCATGTCTCCTGGCAGCCGACCAAGATCCAGGCATTTCAAAAAATCTCTTGAGTGTCTAGTCCAAGCCACATCAGTTGGAACGTCAGGTCCAAAGCGAGTCAATACTGGTCGTAAGGATGCGCTTCCGTCATCCCATCGATAGAGAATCCTCCGGGAAACAGATTGATTGTGAATGAGACCTGAAAAAACAAACTTCAGAACCACTGGCCATCTTGGTGACGCACTGGAAACAAGTTTAATACCGGCAAGCTCTTGAGCCGGTCAACGGCGTGTAGCCCTGGTGCGATGACGTCACGACGTTCCTTCTGTCGTACTGGTTCATCTGTATACAGCATCAGCAATATATGCATCATCAAGGTATCACATCGGACCTGTTAGTTGTCGATTCGCATTCACTTCCAGCCCCTGCAAATTCAGAACATTGCGTCAAGTCTCTCGAACCAGAACTCTCAAACAATTCTGACGTCAAGTGCACGCATGCGAGCTTCGATCATCAGATCCTTCAGCGTCTTCGGGCCATTGTAGTCCAGTAAGTTGTCATCCACCGTCTGGGCATCATGAGATGTTCTAGGCGAAAAATTGGAAAATTGCGTCCGCTGCCTGCTCGACGTACAAGTTTAGTTTCATGACCCTGTGGCAAGACATTAGGACTGTACCGCATGGAGATTATATGGGAGAGCCATTTATCCATATCATGATGGTGCCCTTTGCTCGTTTCCCATTCGGAAAATGATTGCTTCTCCTTCTTGTTTCGGACCGAGTCTGCGATCCAGTCGACTGTTTGCAGCAGCGTTACAACTCGTTCATGTGGAGGTAGATCGGTACTCGATGTGTCCTCCAGAGACCATGTCGTTCCTCGTTTCCACTTTTCGTCTGTCCCAGGCAGCGAATAAGAGAGGCGTTGACGCAGAGCATGGGAGGAATCAGCATAAACCCCTACCTCCTTTCATCACTATAGGGGAGCGAGCCCTTTTTCTCGATCTCTTGGCTGTAACTATGTCTTCTCGCTACGTTCAAATGTCAAGAGGCACGCAGTCAGTCAGCTCTTGTCAAGACAACCGCCATGATCCTGAAGGGAGTTATCTGGATGGTTCCAGTCTGGTCACAAGGCTGTCAAAAGTTGAGGCGCTGTTATTTATGCGAGCACCTTTGCAACGTTGTGTCCTCCATTTGTGGCCTGCATTGTATTCTGATTAAAAGAAACTCCCAGTGGCAAAGATATGAAGCTATACCTCCACGTCTTGCATCTCAACGTCTTGCATCATCGAACTGTTTTCAACTGTTCAGCAATGCTGGAATAGCGAAAATATCCGGGATCAGAAAGGTACCGAACTTCCATAAAGAAATATCACGAACAAGAGCAATATCAAACAACTACTGATCAACACAGAAGAGTTAAAGATCACAATCATCATCTCACATTCCTGAAAGACGATTTTACTTGACTTCCGCCATGACAGCGCCCGCCCGCACCAAGATGTTCTACTCAAAATCTGAGTTCTGACTGCACGCACAGACCCTCACAAGTGTCCTCACCATCGACAAGAGATGGACTTCGCTCACCATCCCCCCCCGATCTGGCCCTGCCTCACTTCCCCATCGTTGCCTCCGTCGCCGTCCTCTCCGCCGTTTCCGCCATCTCCCCTCCGCACGACCCCCTGTAGTCAATGTCCTCGATTATAGTCAAGTTTTATCAATATAGTCAAATATACAGGTTTTATAGTGAAAATTCACGTTCATAGTCAAAAATTATATTGTCTGTAGTCAAATGGCAACCGGGCCCGGCCCGGGGTGCAGTGCCGAGCGGTCACTCAACGGCTCAGCCCTGTTCAGTCTTTACTCAAAATTGAATGAGTTGAATCTGCTTGGCAGCCTAGTATCTATTATCAGTCACTCAAGCCCCAGCCTTGGCACGCCCCCCGCGCTACCGTACCGCCGTAATATTTCGTCACTAAGCGGCTGTCAGGCTGGCATTTCTAATTGTCCGAGTGGCGTCCGAATTACTGACCCGGAGGCTGTGGCCCGGTCCGGGCCTGCGGCCCGGGCGGCTCACTGAGTCACAGTCACAGTCACTCGGACCCGCCGCCCCGGTCCGGCGTACAGTGGGTCTCGCGGCGGCCTATTGAAACTCCGAGGCCCTAATTGGAAATGCTGCCCTCCATCTTAGACTAGTAGAGGAAAGCTGCCTCAGAGGCGATCAGTCGCAATGCCATGGCTCTTGTAGAACAGCGTCTGATGGCGCTGAGAGGAGTCATGAGGCTGGCGAGAGAGGAAGAGGAAGAAATGAGAGGGGGGAGGAGAGGAGGAGGGGAAGACGATCCAAGAGGAAATGAGGATGCGAGGAGATGTCACTGGGCTGAGGCCTGGATAAATCCGTGTCTGCTCCGTTAGTTCGAAGCCTTCGGACTTGGCCGGATCAGGCTGCATGGTTTTGAGGAATGAGTTTGATTAGCAGAGGATCCATGCAGAATTTGCTCTTGATCTTGGCTCTTGGAAACCTTCTTGTCACATGCGACCCTGCAAGAGGAACTCGCAACGTTCATCTCAGGCTGGAGTTGAGAGGGGGAGAAAAGAGATCTTTCGTGCCTGAAGCATTCAAGAACAAGACCGAACGATCGAAGAGGTTCAGGAGCAAGGCTAAACACGAGCATATAAATGAGAATGCAGACAACCTGTCCGACAAACAGAAAGCTGGCCCTTTCAATGCTGTTAGGGATGACTACAACATTTCTGCCGATGAATCCCAGGGCTCCTCCCTCGACCTTTCCGTTTCCTCGACGGAGGAGAGCGATCCCAAAGAGCGTGAACTGAGCGAGTCTGCAGAGCTTTGCCCTGCATGCGGCAATCTCGAACACGAAAACCTTACCTCCGATGTCGTGAGTAGACTAAGATCTTAGCAGAAGTTACTGTTAGATTTACTCGGATCTTCCAGGATATGGTGATACCAACTGACCTCTCTATGTTTCCCATGGACGAGGAGACCAAGAAAGTGTTTTTGGCTCGTGAGCGACAGAACTTGACGGTCGACGCTGAGCTATGTGAGTTTCTCATGAAACTCTGCTGCAAGCGGGAGAATTGTGTGAGTCGTTGGACGGGGTGGCTGTGCTGTTGTAACACCCTTGGCCGCAGACTGCAGCGCTGGGGCTGTTCCAGTTCATGGAGAACCAAAGGTGATGAAAGACTGTGATGAAAGACATGAGAAGCCCTGTGATTGCCTGGCTGGTTGCTGTGTTTCCTCCGAGTGCCTCCGTTCTGGTGCCCTAGAGCGTAACCCCAACGCTGAATTTCGCCGTTCTGTGATGCGGCGTCGTCTGTTCTGCTGAGATCACTTCTTTGACTTGCAGCATGGCCCCAACATACATGACGATCGGCTACTTGTTGAACCTCCTGACCGAGGAGAAACAGTTTCCTCTTGTACGCGCCGACTGTGTTATCTGGCAACATTCTTGACGCTCCAGCTACCTTGCAGGGAGTTTCCGTGCTGCAGAAGTCTCTCAAGATGGGGTTTTCGCTCAACGACGAGGTCTACGACATGGTACTTCCCATAGATAGGAGGGAGAAGCTCCAGTTCCTCGACTGACTTGCTCTTTGTTCAAGTTCATCGCCTTTTGCGCACAATCGCAGGAATGGAGCATTCTGATCGAGTTGTTCGAAGAAATGCGATCGAGTGGTGAGCGACGGTCCCTCGGATCCTCTCAGACCTCTTGCTCCTGTTCTGAGCCTTTGGGTCCCCTCCTTGGTTCTCGTTTTCAACCCTTGGTTCTCGTTTTCAACCCTTGGTTCTCGTTTTCAATCCTCTTGCTCCTGTTTTCACACCACTTGCTCTTGTTTTCAAACTTCTTGCTCACGCTTTCAACAACCGTCGCTCTCCTTCTCATGGCACTGTAGGTTTCATTCCCAACGACGAGTCCTACATATCCTTCTTCGAGGTGCAGCTGAGGTCCATGAGTTTATCTGTCTTTGAGGCAGCCTGCAGGCTTGCAGTCACATGCATGAAGGCAAGAAAGCTCTTCAAGAGGTGACGAGGTGGAGGTCAAGTACAAGGATATTAACGTTGTTCCAAGCTTGCCATCCTGCGGAGAGTGCGCCTTCCTGGACAGCTCGAACTTGAGTTCGTTATGCAAGCCTGCGTGTCTTGCAATTACATGACAGAGGTCTTGTCCCCCCTCCTCCCTCCCTCCCTCCCTCCATGTTCTGCCTCTATCATACCCTTCCTGTCGGGTTTTCTACTTTTCTTTCCCCTCTACCTCGTGTGTCACTTGACGCCTCTCGCCGACTCTCTCATCCCTCAACTCCAACTGCAGGCGACGCTGTTGCAGAAGGAGCTCACGTACATGAACGATCAACGTGTCAAGTGCGGTGATGGGGGCTGAAGTTTGCCCGCTGACATGCCAAGCAGGATGGAGGAGAGGTTGCTGCAGCTGCGGGAGATGAAGGAGCAGGAAGAGAAGAGGGACAACAGTGAGAGAAGCTCGATGACTGTGTCTGTCGAGACGGAGCTGAAAAAGTGAGGGCAACTTGGTCCTGCCTGCCTGCCTGCCTGCCTGACGCCCGAGCAGGATGGGGGTCGAGGTGAGTTCATCCGAGGGAGAGTCGGGGAATTCCAACTCCACAGAAGTCGAAATCGGGTGAGTGCTTGCTTCTCGTCTCCTCCCTCCTGCTCCTTCTCCTTCTCCTTCTCTCCTCTTTTTCTGCTCCTGCTCCTGCTCCTTCTGCTCCTCCTTTCCTCATCTGTAGATTCTTTCTTGAAGCTCTCCTTTGATCTCACCTCCGCAGCGAAGAAGTCTTGGAAGAGTGGAGGAGAGCATGTGGAGATAAATGAATCGCTCTTCCTGTCTTTCCCCCTCTTTCCTCCCATTCCACTTAATGATTTATTATATTTTCATGGTACCTGAGCAGGAAGTAAGCTTCTCCCCTCCTCTTGCCCCCTCCATGTTCCCATCCCCTTTCCTCTTCCTCTTCATCTTCCACCACCTCTTGCTCTTCCTCGTCCTCTTCCTCGTCCTCCACCTCTTGCTCTTGCTCTTCACTACCTCTTCCTCTTCCTCTTCCTCTTCCTCTGAACAACCTCCTGCTTCCCCTTAACCCTTCTCCTCGCTTCTCCTCTTCCTCTCCACTCCCTTCCTCCCATTTCTCCAGGGATCCAAAACGTCCTCCTCCTCTACCCACTCACCTCCACACAACTTGATGGTAAAAGCCCAGAAGCTCGACTGCACTTTTCGCTCTCTCCTTCATCTGCCCTTGGTCAACTTCACTCGCTCCCCAGCCTTTCTCCTCCTCTGCTCCCTCCTCCTCTCGTCTATCATCTACAACCTCCTCCATAGCATTCTCCTCCATTTCCTCCTGCTCCTTCCTCTCCTCGCCCTTGTCCTTGTCCTTGTCCTCGATCTCGGCGAGAGCAACAACGGGCTCGATCGCACTTCTGAGTGTTCCATCAGCGCTGGGCTTGCGAGGAAAGAGAAGTTACCAACCTGGCCTTCTCTTCGGTTAGAACTTCAAAGGTCTGAGAGAATCAGCAGCCACTCGTCAGAGGTCCTTCCACCCTCCTCCCTTCTCTCTCCCTCCTCCCTTCTCTCTCCCTACCTCCCTTTTCTCCCCTTTCCTCTCTCCTCCCTCCCTCCTCCCTTTTCTCCCCATTCCTCCCTCCTCCTTCCCTTCTCTGACTCCAACTCCCTCCTCCTCCTCAACCATGATGGACTGTCGAGGTATCGCAAGGGGCTGTAGACTGCAGTGGAAAACTCGCTGGTCGATGGCCCTTCTTGAAGAACTCTGAGATGAACGATTGCTGAGGTGAGCTGCTCAAGAAGGATGAAGAGTTGGAGAAGGAGAGGGAGGAATGGAGGAAGAGAGTGGAGAGGCAAGGTTAGGGAAGGGAAGGGAAGGGAAGGAGGGAGGAAGATAGGCAGAGGGAGGGAGGGAGCGGGGGAGGGAGGGAGGGAGGGAGGGAGGAAGGCAGAGAAAGCGGGAGAAGAGGGAGGAAGGGATGGAGAAGAGGGAGGGACAAGTGGGAGGGAGGGAGGACAGGGAGGAGAAGGGAGGAGAGGGAGGGAGGATATTATTCAAAACGTCTCGTGCTGTGTCACCTGCAGTAATCGAGCCGCCTCATGCTGGCGGGTGAAACATGCGATCTCCAGTCCCATGGCGATAACTTGCACTTGTAAGGACAATCAGGGGAGAGGGATAGGATGGGAAAAGGAGAGGAAGAGGAGAGGAGGAGGAAGAGGACGAGGACGAGGACGAGGACGAGGAGGCGGAGAAACAGGAGCAGGAGGAGAAGCAACAGACACTCAGGGCAGAGGAGTGAAATTGAAAGGAAACAGGGAGGAGGTGATAGCATTGAGGAGATGAATGGGAAGGACGGCTGAGTACTTGAGAAAGTTTTCGGAGTCAGAGTATTGGGGGAAATAGCACTGGAAGGTGCGGATGAGAAATGTGGAGGAGGGGGAAAAAGGAGGGATGAAGTGTTTATACCCAAACTCTTTGCCCTGCTCGCTTCGACGGCTGCGAGTAGATATGGTCATGGCCCTTCTTCACCGCTAGAGGAAGGAGAGAGGAGGAGGGAGGAGGGAGGAGGGAGGAGGGAGGAGGAGAAGGGATCACCGGCGAAGACATGGTAGAGAACGTCGAGGGCGGAGGCGAACGGTCTTTTCAGCAGGTCCCTCCTCCTCAGGTCAAGATCCCTTCCTTTGCTGGGCAGCAGGTGCAGGAGGACTTGAGGAGGAGGAAGCTGAGGTATGGCATCAGAGCTGTAAGGTTGGTTCGAGCCGTCAGGTTGCAAGTGTTCTTACCCACCACAAGTCGCCCTGATGGTCGAGAAACCAGTTGTGGAACTTTGAATCGATCTCAGCCGTCTTTGTTCTGTGCTTCCCTGTGTGAAACTTCAGATTCCTTGACAAGGGAGGCCGTGCAATCTTTGCTCGGGGGTGATAAGAATGTAGATGATCTAGATTCAGACGTAGGTGTAGGTGTAGGTGCAGGTGTAAATGTAGATATAGATGTAGATGCAGATGTAGTTGACGAGATGACGATGATAACTTGACCGTATTTCACGATGATGTTCTTCACTACGATATCTTCTCCTCGCCTTGCAAGACGCTGACGAATGTTCAGCTATAAAAGGTATCAAACTTGTCACCTTGTCTGAAATGATCTGGAGAACCTGGAAAAGATGATGTCAACTGCAATTTTGAAGAAAAGCATTGGAAGGGATAGGAGAGGAGGAGAGGAGAGGAGGAGAGGAGAGGAGAGGAGAGGAGAGGAGAGGAGAGGAGAGGAGAGGAGAGGAGAGGAGAGGAGAGGAGAGGAGAGGAGAGGAGAGGAGAGGAGAGGAGAGGAGAGGAGAGGAGAGGAGAGGAGAGGAGAGGAGGAGGAGGGGGGGC